CCTCTGAGGTTTGCCAAAAAGACACTTAGATGAAAGTTAGCCTATTTTGGGACAATCACACCCTTTGTTATATTTGTCATCTTGGGACAATCACACCCTTTGTTATATTTGTCATCCAAACAAAGCCTTAAAACATGTAAAAATTCATTTTCCTTTTCACTATTTTATTAATTTTAATTATAAAATATCAACATACTTGAGTGACCAAATTACCCTCAGCACCCAATCAACCCGTTTCATGTCCACCAGAGGGGTTTTGCTTCTTGATGGTGGAGGTGACGGAGACGGTCGGCGACGAAGATGGTCGGCGACGGAGACGTGGCCAATGTGGGTGAAGCCGCACTTCTCGAAGAGTATCATGGGTTGATTGTCATCGGTGATCTTTAGGGATTTGAATTATGTGGGATGGTTTTTAGATATGGAACTCTAATGTGTTTAGGATTGGAGGGTTTTTAGACCGATTATTGTGGAGAGAGATGGAGAGTTCTGGTGAGCTCAACACGAAGGCTATCGATCCGCCTATTGGCGGGTTGGTTTAGGTCCTGCGTCGAAACGGGTCGTGGTGGCCGGGGCGCATATTGGGTGCTGATGAATTGCCGGAAAGTCGCCACCACATCAAAATCAACAACCACCACTATCCCCACCCCCAAACCACCGCCACCATCTCCACCCCAACAACCACCCCTGCGTATTTCGGCAATTTATTTTCTCTGATCGACAGCCGAGCCATGACATCACCGAGCTTGCCGTCCATGACAGCCTCCATCATCAAATCCGAAGCTCTCCGCCGTCACTCTCATCTGAGCTGCCGCCGATTCATCCACGGCCGAACCAGTCCGTCTCCACCGACAGAGCTCTCCTTGCCCGCTGCGCCGCGCCGCGAACCGTCCTTGTCACCACCGCTGTTCCGCGATCTCTGCCGCGAACCAGCCCGTCGCCATCATCTCTGCCATCGCCCATCACGGCTGAGCCCTCCATTCGCCGCCACCGCCGCCTTGTGTGTGGATATATATATATATATATATATATATGTATCTGCATATACATATACATGTGTGTGGGTGTGTATATATCTATATATATATATATATATCTATAAAAGTGTATTCAATTTTAATTTTTTATATACATTTTAAAATAATTTTTTTAATTTATAAAAATATTATACGACAGTTTCATGTTTTCTTTTTACACACTGTTTTTGTTTTCTTTTTTTCTTTTTTTCGAAAGAGTTTTCATTTTTCTAAAAGGTATCAACAATTAAAATGTCTTTCTTTTTACACATCGTTTTTGTTTTCTTTCTTTCTTCTTTTTCCCAAAGAGACTACGCTTTATTTTTCTAAAAGGCATCAACAGTTAAGACGTCTTTCTACTTTTATATTTAAAAGAGACGTCTATTCGCTTCTATATACCTACGAGTTATATGATCTCAAAAAAAAAAAAAAAAAAAAAAAAAAAAAATTCTTTCACGTTATCTTCTTCTCGATTTGCAAAAACTTTTCTTCTTCTCGATTTGCAAAAACTTTTTTTCATTTTCAGGCCAACATTATAAGTACACTATACTTCTTAAATAAATTATATATTTAGGTTACAACTCTTCTCTCCTCTAAAAACTTTTTTGTATCCGTATTTTTTATATTTATTTGTATTTTCTTCTATATCATATTATTATTGAAATATTTTAGAGTTTTTTTTTATATATAACTTTTATTCAATATACGATTCTTATTACATGAAAGAGTTTCTTTATAAAACTATCTCTATCCTTCTATGTAAAACCTAACAAATTACAAACCAACGAATCACCATCTCCTCCATCAAACAAACCATTGGCATCATCACATCCTCTGTCAAACCGACATCATCACCTCTGTCAAACCCACAGCCGGCATCATCACATCCTCTGTTAAACCCACCGCTGGCATCATCACCTCTATCAAACCCACCGCCGACATCATCATCTCCTCCATCAAACCCACCGCCGACATCATCACCTCCTCCATCAAACCGCCGGCGTCATCACCTCCTCCATCAAACCCACAACCGGCATCATCATCTCCTCCATCAAACCCACCGCATGATCTTGAACTTCAAAGTGATGGACCAAGACACAATAAAAAATCAAAAGTAGATCTGAAGTTTTTTTTTGTTTTTTGGTAAGTTAAAAAAAAAAAAATAAATAAAATAAAAAAAGAAGATCTGAAACTTTTTCTTAATACTTTCCAAATCTATTTACATAAGCTTTTTCAATGATTTTGTGAAAGAATTGCTGGAACCATTCTTTCCAAATTAGATCCGTCCTCATTCGATCGCACTGAAGTTTGTAAATCGGATCACCATTCTTTCCATCACCTTTTCTCGCCCCAATCTCCAACACCTCACTTGCCCAGTTTCTACTTTCTCTCTATTTCTCTCTCTATCTATTGCCCCAATTTCATTCTTATATACCTATTTCTATCCACTGGATTGGAAAAAAATTGATGTTAATTTTTTAGTTAATTTTTTTTTATTATTAATGATAAAGATAATTTGGAGAAAACAATATAAATTATGAATAAGGTAAAACACATTATAAATTTAATCCATTATTATTTTTAGTCCAACCAAACAAATGAATGGAAATTATTATTTTACTTTTATACATTCCATTCTATGTTTGCAATCAAACAAGAGAATGTGAATCATAATTCCCACTCTATTCCATTCTCATTCCATTTCCACCTTTATTCCCATTCCATTCTAATTCATTCCACCACACCAAACTAGCCTTTAGAGTGACGTGACAGATATCATAAAAACACAATTAAAATAAGTGTTTCAATTGAAAAATGTCACTAACTCATTATTTGGGTGTTCATAATTGATCAATTTTATAAATGACCTACCAAATAACAAAAAAACACATGTAAAATAACTAAAATTATAATTAAAACATTAATAATATAGTCAAAACTGAATGGACTTTGATAGGGAAAAAAACAAGATATATTATAATTGTGATGAGTTGTGTATTTTAGAAATTTTTTTTTTAAACAAGATATATTTGTGTAATGTATAATGTTATACTAAAATTTTGAATTCATGGAATATGGTAAGGGGAGGTGGGGTTCCCATTTTTCTTAGAAGTATGAAATCTTATTTGCTATTCAATTTGAATTTTTCTTCTTCTTTAGTCTCTCATATGTCATAATATGACTGGGAGTATTACTGCAATGTTTTTGTGATAATAATAATAATAAAAATAATAATAATAATTTCCATAGCTAAGTCACACTTGGTACTCATTTGTCCCAATTGGCATATTGCATATGTTCCTTGCATCATTTATGTGTAGACCCACGAATTAATAAATTCTTCAAACTATACATAATAAGTACTATTAATAAAGGTGGTGATATATGATAATTATACTATGCAATATTAAGATTCTACATAGTTATTGATAAACACTATTTGTACTTATTGTTATCTTTTTAGATATGTATGTTTTCTTTAGTAATTCATTCTTTCTTTATTATAATGTGTTCCAAATGTTTTCTTTATTAGCTACGGTTTAGTGGCATCAACAAAGACAAACCAAGGAAAACTTCTTAGTTAAATAAAAAATTTCTTCTCTTCTAAAGCTTTGGGCATTTGATATTTATATCTAAGACCTTGGAATTTATGCTATGGGCTTTTTATGATGTCTATGATCATATTTTGGATACTGAACTTTTTCCTCTAAAAATTTCTATGTATTTTTTTCACTATACTGATCAAAAAATTTCTATGCATTTTTTCTTTCTTTCTCATGTATCAATAATCATATACCGACTCTCTTTATCACTTCAAAGTTTTATTTTTTAATATTTTAATAATTAGACAGAAAGATGATTAAGACCCTCATATAAATTATGTTATTAGTTATGTGACTTTTTTAAATTCTTTATATTAATAATTATCACTCAAAAAATTAATAATAATTCTAATTAAATTATTTTCTATTTGTATACAATTTTATTAATTAAATATTAACTTAAATAAGTTAATAAAAAATAATTAAAGAGATTTTAAATTTACATTATTGTTATTAATAAGTTTAATCTGAAACAACACATCAATTATTGAAGGACACGAACGTTTATATAAATGACACAACCTTTCACAAAGGACACATATGTCGGATAAAATAGTAAAATAATAGTTGTCCAACATATTCAATACAACAACTAAAACTACATGATCATGAAGTAAATAACAAGATTAACATAAATATTAACAAAGGAGAAATTAGAAAAAGTCGCATCACCATTCGGTAAAAATGAACCAAAAAAAATTAACTACCAATTAAAAACGATTTTTTTGCAAAAGGAGTCATTGTGATAAAAAAATATTATTAGTTAGTCAATATTCCGTGATAAAAAATATTTTCTTTTTTCATTTTTTGGTTTGGAAGATTCAAAATTAAAGTTAATTTTATTTTATTTTGAGATAAAATAATATATAAAATATAAAATATAATTATTTATCCAATATAGATTTTTATTTTAATGCACGTGTCCATTTTCTAGTATATATATGTGCGTGTGTATTTGTGCATGTGTGTATATATATGTGTGTGTGTGTGTGTGTGACAGTATGTGTGTGTGTGTTGGTGTTGGGGTGAGGAAGATAGAACAGAGAGGAGAGAAAGAAATATACTCGTAAATGCGAATGGGTTTTTGAGGTTAGAAACGTCATTTTATGATCAACATAAAAGTTAAAGGGTAAAAATGTCAATTCATTACCATTGGAGTGTGTTTGACAACCATATCAAACTTGAGGGGTGTCTTTGTTCCAAAATAGGCAAACTTTCATCTGGGTGTCCTTTTATGGTGTCCTTTTATCAAACTTGAGGGGATGTTACTGTACTTTACCCAATAAAAAAAATATATATATATTTGCATGGGTATATGGTTGTACACATATAGGAACCTCAAAAATGCAGTATCACCATCATCAAGATCCAAAGGTAACAGAAATGTCAGTTCAAAAATGCAGTATCACCATTATCAAGATCCAAAGGTAACAGAAATGTCAGTTGGACATAATTTTGAATAAGCATTATGTTTTCATAACTTTAAGTTACTAAAAAATACCAAATCGGCAAAGATTGGGCACTCTTACACAACATTGAATGAAGGTAAGATACAACAACTTACAGGGGCAAAGCCAAAGAATACAACAGAACGTGCCCCCCCCCCCCCCCCCCCCCCCAAAAAAAAAAAAAACTCACATTTTGTAGGGACATCATCAATATCCGAAAGCCACTGCAATCAACAAGGCTCCAACAGCAATCGGCAAGAAATGAGGGGGTTGAGACCAGCTATAAGCACTGCTGCAATCATCATTTGCACCACTAAAGCATCCAGGTCTGGTTACCTTAGCTACACCTCCCTCTGTAACGAAGCTGCTGTTGGGTGATTTGGCGCTGCTGAATAGAATGCACCAGAAATAGGGACCCCCACCATCAGAGCCACTCACAGCAGCCCCTACTTCTGTGTGATTCTTGCTGTACAGAATTTCCAAGCTCTTGCTGTTTTTCATCAGAATCTCTGAGAATGCTTCTGAAGACTCAACATATTTGGACTGGCAGCCAAGTAAACGACCACTAATTGGAGAGAGGCTAGAAGCCAAAACACCACAGTTGGGGGCAAAAGTTTCAGCAAATTCAGACTCAGCAGGTTTCTTGGCATCAGATCCTCCCACTTCACCACAGTTACCTCCATACGCTTTTATATATTGCAGAGCTATGCAAGCCAGGCCCGAATTGCTAAAGAGGGTTGATGCCTTGTGTGCAGTTCGATTACTATTAAGTGCAGCTACAAGCTGGTCGGCAGGGTTATCTGTTACTTTTACTAATATAATATTGACAATATCAAGTGTAAATGATTAGAGAATGAGCATAACTATATCAATAGAGAAAGAGAGAGGAGGGTGGATATAAAATAAATAAATAAATAAGAAGGTGGGTAGCAAACATACTTGACCCTTTTTTCTTTTTCTTTTTTTTTTTTCCCGAATATAACTAAAAAAAATATAAACATGCTAGATGAAGGATGAATAAGATTAAGAAGAAATATAATTAGAGAGAGAGGCAACATTTTTAGTTGGTATATAACAGTTCTAACCCTGTTTCCCTTGCAAGCAAATAAATCACTTTTTATATGGGACATGTAAAGAACAAAATAATTTAGTGAGTTTTTTTCCATTATATTACTGTTTACAATGATATCTCAGACAATCATAGCACGGATTGAGCTCACATGTTATTTTATGGTATTATATGTACAAGGATACCAAATATAATTTGAGTACTGGTGGGAAAACATTTTCTAGCTAGAATTGGGCATTCACAGTTAACCAAGAAAATATTGAATGTTAGTTGATAATATTACAAAAGGCATCTTCAGGTAACGTTTCGATAATTCCTTAACATCTTACAGAAAGCAAAAGGATTCAGCCTACAAAATGTGACCTAGGTGGGCCTGAAAAATCCTTAAACTAATTATGGAAAAGCTTTGAATCTTCATCTCATTGCTTCAAACAGAATACGTCTCTAACAGCCCAACCAGAGCTCTCATCAGGGGACTGCCATGATATTTAAAGATTCTTTTAAGACAGGGAAGAGTGAACAAGATGTAATTGTAATGGGAAGGGGAGTTGGGGTTCACCCCTCTACTGTTCAAATTGCCGAACACAAATATACAATTCCATTGATGGTTAATCCCCATTGTACATTAGCACTACTTGCAAGCACATTTGGTAGAAAATAGAAGACTTTCAAGAAGGAAAAGCCCTACTTTACACTTACCAAAAAGGGGACAAATGACCTTCTTTATACTCGTCTATCTGACGAGACAAGTCTCTTCTATACCTCTAGTTCTTTAGGCTAATTTGATCGGTTCCTGGGGGTATATCCCTTAGTGAGGATTACCTTCCTTGGCCAAGGAGGAGTTGTGGGCCTTGCCAGAATTTTTAACCAAAGGAATGACAGTTCTTATCATTTACAGATCACCCATGGCCTTTTACGATTGATAATTAGTGGCGTTGTTAGGATAAACATTGCCTGAAGCAATGGGCCTCGCTTTTTTCGGTTGTTTTCCTTGGCCAGGGCACGAGAATGATATAATATGAAACAGTTCAGATGACAATTTCTTAAGACATTCAAATGTGAATCATACATATACACAATCTAAAGATCCACATAATGCTTATCAGTTATCTCTATGCCACGGTATTACTAGACATAAAGCTACTAACGACACCTTATGATCATGGACCCTCGTAACTGCATTACATAGACCTGACACGAGAAGAAGGTTACATGCAGCTAACTGCAAGAAGTTGGGGGAAAAGGCTTAATTGAGTTTGAGTATTTTGAAGCCAAGTTCCATATCCATCCTTATTTTGAATCCATATCCTATCACGGGAATTCAGACCTAGGGTTTAAGGACCAAGATCAGATCAATCTTAAGTCAAACCTAAGTGACAAAAATGCAGTGTGAAAGCTAGAGCAGGGTGGTGGGACCAAGAGCACAAAGTGGTCTATGTTAAAAATCCTTTAGGTAGAGTATCACTAGAGCGTCTAGAGAAAAGTAAATGTATCTATAAGTACATGTATAATAAATTAATCATTTATGAACAAGTATGCCTAGACGTGCATATGTATGATACCTCTATTATTTATTTATAAGTATTTTACCTCTATTATTATGGGCATATATAGAAAGACAACATTAATATCATTTAGAATTTTTTAGAGTTCTGTATTTGTTATTACTTCATGGCTGAAGAATACCTTTTTCAATATTTTGAATAAAAAATGTATGAATTATGAAGCAATAACTTCACAACAAGGTGGCTATTATGTGGTGACTTGTATCTTGCCTTTCCAAAGTGAAGGTGATGTGGTCAATTCCTTGAACCTGCAAAATTTAATTTCACAAAGCAAGAAGAGTCAAAAGGTCACCAAACATGTGGCTGCAGGAAGAATCCTCATTTTCACAATGTTTAATCCATAGGTTAGTGACGGATCGTCATTGGAAGTGCCAAACCACTGGTTTTAATCTGGGAGTGGCTTCCAAAATTCCAAATTAGACTGATTATGCATTAGAGTCAAAACCACCATGCCATGTTTCTAGCTGTCGTCTTGCAACAGTGACTCGGGTTTTTTAAGTTTACATGTTTAAACAAAGCAATGTGAGTGGCTTTATAAGTTTTTCTTGACTGAACCTTTTGAAGATCCAACATTGCAGACGATGTACAAAAATATGAAATGAGAAATCGGGCCAATTTGGTAAGGCAAAGTTAACTTTAATTAGTTTTTCCTATCATTTTTTATTTAAAACCACATCCAACGCAGTAATCACATTACATGTAAGAATTCATATTTAGAATCCACATTACATGGACTCGGGTATGAATATCGAGGGTGGGTGCATTGTGTCTAAGTGTCAAGACTCATGAATCTTAGATCTTAGGATACCGGAAATGCGTTCAAAAATTTTGAAGGGGTACGTAGACATATTTTATGCAATTAAATACATTATATATGAATGTCTATATATATATATATATATATATATATATATATATTATATAATGTATGATGTTATTGTTCTTTAAGTTATTCTCGAATGAGATGCTGTAAAAAACAGAGGTTCCCGTCCATCTGACAAGTAGGAAACATTTCTTTGATATCAAAGACAAGCCTTTTATTCTTCTTCCCTCATTACATACGGAAAATCGGAGTGTCCGATTTAGGTTCTTGTACGGGTACAACACCCTTACCCATACCAATGTTGTGTCGTGTGGCTAAGGGAAAGGAAATAGGAGAGTCCATGTAACACAGCTTAGAATAGCATTTTATCAACGAGTAACAAAAACCAATAATGAATGTGATTCTCGCATTGAGAGAAGAAGAAATCACATTGATAAATTGTTCAAGGATCTACAGAAACAGAAGAAATTTACTAATAGATGTTTTCCATAATCAATTTCTCATTAACAACTCATACATTATACTTGAACAAAACTCAAAACAAGAAATTGAAGACCAGACCAAAGATCTCAATGGAACTAGGGGACCACATTTAGAGGTCATCAATAGATTAATAAATGAACAAGAAGATAAAACTAAACCACATTTAGAGTTCATCAATAGATTCATAACTGAACAAGCAGATAAACGAAGTTCATAAGCAGATCAACATAATAACACAGTTTGTATAGACTCCAAATCTAATAACCGAAAATGTAAAACACAATCGTTTAATACCATACAAATATGAAAAAAAACAAAAAGAAAAAAAAAAATTAGAGAGAAAGAGAATAACTTACTTAGAGTTTTGGCAGAAGCAGAGATGAAGAAAATACAGATAATGAGAAAACGTACAGGTACAGTCATCGCCATTGTAGCAGTTAGAGAGAGAGGAGGGGAGAGAGAAAGTGGAGCTAATGAAAGTTTGCAGACAGTCGGTGACTCTGGTTCGTGTGTCCAGTTCGATCTGACGCTTTACAAAACTAGGCGTGATCCGGCATACAATTACACAGATACCACCGACTTTCTTTTTTGCAAACGCTGTCGTATATATGAAGTCAATTACAAACATACCCCTGCACCCTTATCATGACATGGTTTGAATTTGTGCCCTCATTTGTACTAAAATTTTAATCCAGATCCGAAAGGGTGTGAGATATAAATCTTTTCCAAGACGTTTGTCTTGATGTGAATATAGTTCAATGAATTCATTTTATATTAATTTAATATTGAATCTGAATTTTATATATCAAATGGGTTGCATTATTAATTATGTTCATTACATCTAATTTTGATTCAGACAGAATATATGACCTGTAATTAAATTACTTACAAATTGATTCAAGTTTCATTTCATATCCTATGCCATATGTTGTATTAGAAGTACAAGTATTTTAATTATTGACCAACAAGAATTAAAATATTATTAGTTATTTGATTAAACTTACAAAAATTATTCATGTATTTAAAAAAAATTGTACCCTATTTAATAGAAGTGTATTGAACCATATTAATTTTTAAAAATATTTTAAATTTGAATTTAATAGTAAACCTGTGAGCGACAACTTGAATCTCCCAAGATTGAGTTTTCATATTTGGCATGTCACTTGTCAATTCATGCATTTAGAATTGAATTTTGAGTTTACCAGACTACGAAAAGGGTACCAGCGTAATTCAGTTATGACAATAATAGTCTCTTTCTGAACGATTTCACCGGGAGACGGGAGGAGAGAGAAAGTAGGTGCTCTGTTCTGTCAATCTGTTTGTCTGTTGGATTCAGCCGAGAAGGTAGGCCATTGGTCTCTTATCTCTGAACGGAGGCTTCTTTCCCATCACTTTATTGTAATCATACACTTCCTTGATGTAAAACATTTTCAGGTTAACTCGCTATAAACTCGATGAAATCATACACTTCCTTGATGTAAAACATTTTTATCTAGAAATATATATTTTTCTCATATCACATATTCCTAACACGCATGCTTCAAGCCTATGCAGTCTGAACTGAATTGAACTAGCTTATGGGATTGCCTATAATAATAACCTATATTTTCGGTTATATGCATGTTTATATGTAAATGTTTCTATATAGCACGCATTCATGGTGCCTGTAAAATGATTCAAACTTCAATTGTTCATTCAAATTCCAGAAACTAGAAGAAACCATCAGTTAATGGAATCATGAAAATTAGTTTCTAATGGAAACATTTTATGATAAGAAAATAAGAAATAAAAGCATTTGTTTTGACGATGGACTTATAATCTCTCTTTATCCTTTTTAAACCTCCTCCGTGTGTGAAGGCATTTTTTATTGCAAAAGGTAATTACTAGACCATAGTTTTATTCTGTGCGCGTGGACTATATCTCATTTTCATCATTTTCTTCAGCTTTACTCTCTTTTAAGACTCCCAAATTTATACCAAAAGAACCCTTTATGATATTATTTTCTGATATTGACATCCAAATTTGTCTCATATTATGTTTGAGACATCTGATATTAATTTAAAATAGTTCATAATATATCAAAAATTTTTTTGCCCAAACCCATATCACTGAATTGGTGATATTTAAGCAAATTTTAGAATTTTCCAAAACAAATTTTTGTTATCAAATATGGTTCTGATTTCTACCCAAAATACCCTACAACAAAACGGTTGTTTTGGTATTCACAAAAAAACATAATGCCTAAAACAAATTGCAGGCCATAGGATTCCTTTTTGGGTTTGAGCATGGTTCATTAGCGTTATTTGGTGGGTTTTACAGCCACCTGTGGCTTAACCCCAAAAGCCCAGACCTGTCCCACCTAGCTTGCGACCAGACAAAGTAGGGTTCATGCCTAATGCTCAATCCTATTTCACCCATTGCTATCACAGAGGAAGTATGCTATAATCCGGAAATACCAGGTGTAAGTACCATTTCGTATATACTAGCTCCTTCCCTTTTTTGTTGTTTGCTTGATAAACTGTGACTCACAATTATGTGAATAACAATTTACGAGGTGGATAATAAGGACGGAGGGAGTTTATACTCTTTCACTATCATCAGAAAGGCTTTAGTAAACAAGTGCCCCCATATCTATCTTTTTTTTTTTTTTTTCATTGACTAGAAACACTCACACCCATAATGCCATAGGAGCCTTAACCATCGACCTTCTCCTTTGGAAGGTGAGGTAGTACCATTACAAGAAAAATGCATTTATTTCAGTAGATCCCTTCATATTCCAGAAGGGTTAAAATAATGTTCCGCTCTCACACCTATCCTGGTATAGTGTACCAGGAGACATATATGAGTATCACCTGATTGTCTTGCACTTGTGACTGGAAGAATACCAGACAGTCCTCCAATTCTTTTTCCTCTCCCAAAACTCAAAATGGTGACAAACAATAATGATTCAAATAAAATGAAGATGAGGTTTATTCTACTTACACCAGACAACAGCCACATGAAGTACAATGTACAGAAAAACAACAACATTAACAAATGAAGACTGGACATTTAGATTATACAAGAGGCATTGTGGATTAGTTACCATGCTAGCTGCTTCCAACAACCAAAGCATGCATACAAGCTCTTTGAAAGCAAGCGAATTAAAGCACATCCTTGAACTTATCATATGGGTGATTGGCTACTGAAAATGCGTTTCAAACTAGGGCATGCTGCACTAAACTTCCCCATTCTCACCAAGCATATCTGCTTAGTTAACCAAAGAGAGAATTTTAAAAAATGAAGTACCTTCCAATTAATCTAAATAAAAATAAGTTGCAATTTTCAGTCAATACGGTTGTCTTGGCACGGCACTTCCCGCCATTCCTAGGTCGCGTCGCTCAACCGATTCTTTCTTTTTTTTTTTTTTTTTTTTTTTTCTCGTTGGTACTCACGCACACGTCTCTACTAAGACTTGAACCCCTGACTTCCTTTTGGGAAGTAAGAGGCTGATACCGCTAGGCCATTGGCCCGTTGGTTGCTCAACCGATTCTATTCATTCCCAAATTCTTATCTACAGCTACCTCTTTCACATACGTAGACACTACACGTGAATGAGTGAACTGTGATGCAACTATTGTTACTGAGAAGAGGAGAGCTTCTTTTTTACACATTAACCCTTCCAAAAAGCCTTTTTTATATTTTTATTAAATGGTATAACGGTCAAATCGCGCAATACACTTCATGAAAAAGAGGTTCCTACATATCCCCCGAGGGATACCTCTTCAATTCATTCTACTTTCCCTTCTAGTATTTCATCCTTTGTACCAAGGGTCACATAAAAATATTACTTATAGGAAATTTACCTTTGGACAAAAGCTGACGTCAAGTGTCTCCAGCATGTTGCATTGTGACACAGCAGCTTCAACCACTTCTTCATCAATGTTGCAAGACTAATAAAGTCCAGATGTGGCAGCGACCAAAATTAAAGAAAATTAGTAAGCTATATTGAACAAATGGGAGCTCTCTTAGGCCAAACATAATCATCAAATGACAGCCAAGTTTTCAACAATAAGCAGCAGGTGTAAAGGTGCGTGTTTGCACCAAAACTAACAAACTTGCCCAAAGCTTATTTTAGGCGACTCAGACTAAACAGCAGAAGAAGTTAACTTCGCATTTGAAGGAGTCACAAAAGAACGGAACCTAAACAGCAGAAGAAGTAAATTTTGCATCTGAAGGAATCACAAAAGAATGTAACCTCAAATTTGGAGTTACAGTAAGAAATATTTATATAGGAAAAATTACCACCATCTTTTCCCTTTCAAGACCAATAAGTCCTATCAATTTTAAATAATAAGAAGAATAGGTCCTACATTTTATAAATGTTTCCATTTTAGTTCTCACAAACGTTCACTTTTATTTGTAATTTGTATTATAACTTTTTATTTTTATGTTTTTAGTCCATCAGTATTTTTTGTTTACAATTTAATTTAGGGTTAATTTCACTGACACCCCCTCAGGTTTGGCCAAATATCACCCTCAAATATCTTTCGAAAATAACTATCACTCAGGTCTATTTCTAACTTTCCGTTAAATGTTCTGTTAAATACATGGGAAAAGACAACTTTACCCATAATTTTTTAATCTCTTTTATTCCAAAATATCAGATTAGGTAAATGTCCATTATACCCCACACCCACCTACCAACCCAGACATTGCAACTGATGGGTAAGATAGAGTTTTACGGTGATTAATGAATAAGATGGAGTAAATTGTTGCGTTGCTTGTAGAGGGTCAAGTCTGATAGTCTCTCAACAAAGTTCAGTTTGCTAAAGCACAGAGAATAAAGTGGTTTTTTCATTGAATTTTCAATTCTTCTTCTTTTCCTCTGTCACCAAATGATGACTAATGACTGCAGCTTCTCTCTCGCTTTTTTGGGTTGGCTTGGAGCTGTGATTTCAGAATTATATATATATATATACACGCAGTTGTAAAACTTATCCGAATTAATGAATTTTTATGAGTACATATGTATTTTGGAGGCACGTTCCCTCCTTTCCATGTGATTATTATCTTTGATGTCTCGTATTGTTGGAAGTAAATGATCCTCTGTTTTTTTTTATGTAATACCCGTGTATAAATTCACTATGCCTTTTTCTCACGCCAATCCGGATCTCAGTCCGTGACCCTTGCCTTTCTGCCTCCTCACGTTGAGGAATGGGCTGAGTCCAGACACTCAGATGGAATTCCAGATCCAATTCACCCTATTCTCGCACAACAGCGAGACCGTTTCTATGCTCCTTTTCCTTTAGTGCTAATCCCCGGTCTAGACCTATCTAAGGTTGTGACCCATCTGTGCTTCTTTCTGCTGTTTTTCTTTCCTTCTTTCAAGCATCCCACGAAAGGATTTCAAGTCCTAACCCAATGTAATGTGTGTGTGTATATAATTTGTAAATTTACAACTTTTTAGGGGTATTTTAGTCTTTTAATCTAATTCTTTAAGCTAAATGGTTGGTTTGACAATTCAAAGGGTGATTAAGTCATTTTATATCGTGTCAGAACTGTTCAACTAACGGTTGAAGTGTTAGTGAAAAACAGAGCAAAAATATGTGATGTGCGTGATAGTTATTTTCGAAAGATGTTTAAGGGCGATATTTGGCCAAACCTGAGCGGGTGTCAGTGAAATTAACCCTTTAATTTATTGTTACTTTCTTTTTTAAGTTCTTGTGATTTAACGAAAATCACATTATGAATATAACTTATATTAAAATTTTTAATTCATTTGAAAAAATCTTGTGCAGAATTCATGTTATGACTTCAATACACAAAAATTTAAAAATTCTATAAAGAAGTCAATAAAATATTATTATTTCAATAGTTTGAAAATATTTTATGCTTTAAAAAATAAACTAATTATTTGGCAATTAAAATTTTTAAATGACAAAAAAAAAAAAATCAATTGCTAGTACGAAATCTTAAACATGTTGTATAGTAAAACAAACAATTGTTGAATATTAATTATAATACAAAATTTTACTTCTAATTAAAAAGGTATAAATGGAAGATTTGAGTAGTTTAAAACTTATGAGGGAAAAGTAGGACTTAATGGTATTTTTTCCTATTTATAAATACACCTATAAAGCAAGAGTCATAGCTGCTCTACTCTATAGACATAAAACTAGCTTCCATGAGAACTGCACTCCTGGGAGGAGGGATGCAGTGCTCTCTATGGCCTATCAATAACCATCATCAGGAGAGGAGAGAACATGGAATGAAATCCTCAGTGGACAGAACATCTGAAGAATCAGCAATTAACACTATCAAATAAAAAAAGACCTAAAATTGTACCTCAAATTAAGAATACACAAATTGAAACAAGCAATGTCAACTTCTTTCAACTTTGCACACGGGGAAAGGTTTAACGATGACAAATGGAAACATTTTGCCACTGGAGGAATGAGAACTTTCTTAATATTTGGACAACCAACACAGTTGAGGTTCTGCAGCAAACGATTGGGCTGCTGGAACGTCAAGTGTATCTCATTTTGAGAGGACGAGCCAGATGAGCCATAAATGCTAGGCAGCTCCGAAAGCTGATTTCCACTAAAGCCCCAATTCAGATCGTGAATATTCACACATCCATTCAGGCTCAAATGAGTTAGATGCGAGAAAAAAATCAGTACAACCAAAATAAAGGAAGAAGAAGCTTATACACACACAACACACATATTGGGTTAACATCGAGTTAGATTTGAGTTGGGATCTTCAGGTTGGGTATAGCTATCTGATACCTCAGGAGTCAGGACACTGTTCCCACTACCTAGACCAACACCAACCCTTAACATCCTCTTCTCTTGCCTAATATAATTTCAAATCCCTATTCTCTTCTTACACCCTCTATAAGCCCTAAAATCCTCTATCCCCACAAACTTTTAAGTCACAGAAAATAATTATAATTGGAATAAAAGGACCATAAAATGTGATGGGACAGCTATTGGAAGAGAACTCCTAGCACTTCTTTTTGCATCAATAAGATATACTATAAGCTACAGCCTTCATGAGTCGCTTAAAATCCTTAATATGGTCTCAAGTAGACTACATGCCACTAGATTAAGTGGTGGTCTCGGTGGAAGGACGGGACTTGGTTAGGGGAAGGGAAGAGGGGGAACTTCCAGAACCTTAGCATATGGGCTAGGCTTGGAGAGGAATTACCAATAAAAAATAAAAAATAAGAGGATCTCAAGTAAAACAGTGCCAATTTTATTGGGTACACTAAAGTTCCAAGTTTAAGTCGAACATGCTCCATCAAAAAAATAGTTAATAAATAAAAAATAAACAAATAAGGCAGTAATTTAGCCCAAGTTTAAATATAATACTCACATTGTTGCGCAGATATGTTTCAATTCTCAAAATTCAAAAACCTCCAGAAATCTTCATGAGCACTAGCTGCGCACCACTGCCTGCAGACCTTAGCAGCACGACAAAGGTTGCAGTGGTCCAAGAAAGAGGAAAACCTGAAAAATTATGACAATTATTAAGAAAGCATTAATTGTGAGTTAGAAACAAGCAATACCGAGTAGCTCCTACAATACCAAAGCAGTGTGTACCGTGTGCAACAAGTCATTAGGAAGATCCATCTGAACAACTAAATCTTCCATTGTTATTGTATCACAGCGAAATGCATTGTCCTTCCTACCACTAGAAACAAGGGAATTCTCATCACCATCATTGTTCAACACTGGAATACCTTGGTTAATACTGTCCCTTCCATTTAAACTATAATTGTCGGTATCGGAAGATGTAGCAGCTGCAAAATGGCAATTCCAGTCCCTGCAAAGGTTTCCATCGTCAACATTCAAAACCACAAGACCAGAATGATGTGGTTTACAAAATCCAAGTCAAGTCCAGCATACAATGTATCTCTTTCAATCAGCACATTTATTGGTTTAAAATGTGCAGGAAACAGGACATAAGAAATTGTAGATGGTGTTGCCACAACGGATGTTACGTGTCCTCATTGAACGATGATTACAGCTGGCCAATGCAGAGTGGACCATGCTAGGTCCCACCTGGCACTCTCCTGGCAACCCTAAAAGCCTCGGGCTGGTAGGATTGGATATGCGAGCACTGAGCTCGCAAGAGGATGGGGTCGCCACCCTTCACTCTTCTGCCATGGAGGCGCCCCGCTCCAGTCAAATGGGCTCCACCATATCCGAGAGGTCCTTCCCTTCGTGCAGTACTTAGGAAAGGGGCATAGGAACTCTTTGCCATAATTGTTCGCCCTGAGCCATCCATTATGGGAGAGCTCGAGGGACGAAGGAATTTGGGAGCGCAAGGTTAAAGAAGGCAGAACCTCGAGTCCCTCACTTTTTCCCCTTTGAAATACGGAATCTGAGGAATAGTGGATGGGAGGATGGAATTCAAGGAGTTGCCTCATGGGGGTCGTGCTCGACGATATACCTATAATGAACAACGCCCCCCCCACACCAAGACCTACACCAGGGGGAGAGGACGCTTAGTACCAACGGTTGGAGTTCAGTAAGACAGAGAAATTGGGCAGCGCATTAAATGCGCTGACTCATTAAGGGGACTTGCAAGATAGGAACCATCATTACTATCTCTGGACGGAGGCGCAGGTTGCCTCAGGTCACCTCCTGACATCCCATTAGTCAGGAAGAGTTCCCATCAGCCCATTGGTCAAAGGGAAGTTAGCCCTCACGACCAGGGTCCTTATCCAGAAAGGAAAATAGTAATATTAGGCACAGTAATTAGTCATTAAGGACAAGAGACCAAGAATCATAAATACTAGCACTGGACCTCGAGTTATCAAAAGTACTGAGCAACTGCCTTCCCCCTCTCAATCTCCATTCAGAAAAGAGTCCCTGGTGTAGCTTGAAGTCTCACTCAGACGCTAACCTCAATATTCCTAATCTACGTGGAACGATCTCCTCGCTTTATCACGACCTCACATCAAAGAAATATTAGAATATTGACTCAGATTAAGAAAGCAGAACAGCGGTCAGTTGATACTTGGCACCAACATCAATAAATGTGGGTATGTGTAGCCAATGTATTAGAAAGACCCATCACATAGAGAAATTATTCCATGTGATGTCCACCGCTATTTTAGCATTTTTTGGGACCACGTTAGACATCCACATATGGGATAATGGAGATCATTATACACAATGTGACAATTATGAGGACTAATTTCTCTCATCGTGGGATAGACCATTCCTGTATTCCATCCTTCATTTATGTCGCTTGCAATATGATAATTGCAAACTAAATGGATTTGAGTTTAAGCAATGGATTTGATGAGTTTCAATTCTACACATCTTTAACCATTAGATTGCAATTTTGATCATCATAATATCAATAAACTATAACAACATGAGAATAAATCCAGGCCATACTCCTCCTGGAACTTCTACTATATCTTGGGAGGTGTTTTGTATAGAGAGAGTAGTAAGTTGAGGGTGGTTTAACCATAAATAATCTCTTAACCATCCTATCAAATACATGGAAGATTTAAATATATATATATAAGAAACAATGATCACTTTTACTTATCAAAAAAAAAAGAAACAATGATCACTTTTGTGTGATATAGGTTTTTAATGCCTCGTCTAACTACATCAAATATTTCCTCTTTAATTGATAATCCAATAAGAGATCAAGTTAGAAAAAAAGCATACATAAAAAATATATAATAAAAAATAAAAATAAAAAATAAAAAATAAAGAAGAAGAAGATAGAATAAACATATTATTACACCTGTTGTGTGAAAGTTAAAAGACAAAGCAATATATTCTGCCACAACCATGGTATTTTAAGAAAAACTGAACTTAAAATATGCTCTTTTCCATAACTGTATTATAATTTAGAATATCCTTACAAAGCCATAATTTCCACAAAAATATATATCAAATAAGTACTTCAATGTAAGATATTGCTGCTAACCCCAACTCAGAGGACTCCAGAGATAATGACACATACTTTGATGAGAAAGTTTGAATCGTCAAAGCATAAATGATTCCAACTTTTATCTATATCCAACACCTATAAATCACCATACACAGTAGGAGTATTTAAATGTTACCAAATTACCAGAATGTGTATCAACCAATCGAACAATCATTGTTTGCAGCTTAATTTCAAGAAATTCACAGAAAAATAGAGATACGAGGTGTCTTACAGAGAAAACGAATGAATTTTAGGGCGTTTATTATGAACATTTGTCTCCCTCCAATGCCACCAAAGAGGACGAAGGCTCTTCACTGCGAGCTCCACTATCTCCCGAGCACTACTCGGAGCCAACACTGCGAGCTCCCAACTGAGACTGCAAATCCACCATTGGGAACACACACACTCTCTACAAATCCCTCCTTCCATCACTCAATTGTTGCCCCAACTCTTTACTCTTCCTCGATGCAAACCCTAATTCCAAGTTCTGAGATTCATATTTTTCCATATTCTTTGACTTACACTAGTATTTCCAAGAATGTGCGCTCTCATGGTCACTTTCCTATCTCCTTCACATAAACAAGAACAAGATTACCAAACCGATTTCTCTGTCAATGGAACCCTAGAATTTAGAAAATGATTTGATCAAACTGAATTCAATTACTCGTATTTAATAATGCTCTGCCAAAAAGAGTGTCACTTTTGGAACTGTGATACGATTTTTTCAAAACAAACCCTTTTTTCAGTAGTAATACATATTTCCTACCAGATGTAATATTTTTAAATTTTTTATTAGTACCTATTAAAATACAGTATAATGTGGACTGTATAAACAATGTAAGCAATTCAATTTTTGACAAATATTAATAATATTAATACATGATAATAAGATAAAATATTAATTTAAATTACAAATTCTAAGAATACTCAACATGTAAATACAAAATAAGATATAATAAGACAACAATATTATTGTCAATTCTGTACATAAATACACGTATATGGATTATGTTTAATATTAATATGTGATATATACTGTAATATATTTAACTTATACTCTATCGTAAATAAATTTAAAATGTTAAATAATATATCTTATATGTAATAAAATATATAACGTGTTATAATATTATAAATTAATTATATTGTAACATTATAAAATTAATTATAATATAATATTTATAAATTAATTATATTGTAACATTATAAAATTAATTATAATATAATATTTGCATAATATATAATTAATAATATAGATATGGTATAAAATAATATAAAATATCTATTGCATAACAATTTATTAATATTATATAAAATAAATAAAAATATATAATAACTCATATATATTTTTGTCTCAAAGGAATTTACACTATATATTAAATATATAATTTTTATTAAATAAAAATAATAGTTTACATTATAATATAATATTTTATTAATATTTAATATGTATAATTAGCTGTGTAACACAGATACGGACATGATACGATACAAATACGTCAACATGTCAAATTTAAAAATTGAGTGGTTTATGATTTAAATAGAAAATAATTAAAAAATATGACATATTGTAGGAAAAAATAGGACTTAGTGGTAAATTGCTTCTCTATATATTTTAACAAAATATAATTTTCAATATCGACAATCACTTTAGCTTGAAACAAAGTTAACGCAATAATGGCTTCAAGTGATATTTACATAAAGTGATATACAGGGGAGACTAAGGAGTGTTATTTAGTATTTATTTTCATTTAAAATCAATGCTATAGAGAGTATTGGTTTTCAAATAAAAACATTAAACATACCTACAGACATTTATGCTGGTCTCATTTGAGAAGTATTTTTCTTACATAAAAAAGATTGACAATTTTAAGTTTTTTTTTGGTAAGTAAATAAATTCATTGAACAAAAACAAACCAAAAAAAAACTGGGGCCAAGCCCAGGCCCAAAGACAAGAAGTCCAAAAAGTAGACAAAATATACACTCAATTGGGTCCAAAAGAGGCCCCAAGGCAAACCTTTAACATGCATGCACCAACAACTAATCGATAGAAGAGTCGGGAATGTCAAACATGTTAAGAGCAGGGAGCAGAGAGCAGACATGTTAGTTAACTAGGGAAAGGTGAAGAAAGGGTTGGTATGGTGAAGAATGAAGTCGTGACTCGTAACATTCCAGTCGCTTGTAATTGTTTAGGGTGAAGTGTAAAAAATTTCTAATTTGAAAAGTGTGTAAATAATGTTTTTTATATTCAAAATTGAAAATTCCACCGAAAAGTGAACAAACAAGGGTTTATGGTTGGATAAATAAAGTGAGATAGAAAAAAAAAAAAAATCCCATTTAAGTTTCTCTTTACAAAAATAATAAAAGATGAGTAGAAGTTGAAATTACTTAAAATGACTTACAGAAAATTAGAGTGTAAAATTAAATGAAATATAATGTAAAAAATTAACAAATATATAATTAAAATATATTTAAATATCTTTAAATCAAATAAATAATTTTTATTATTATCTTTATCTAAAAAATCAATGAAATATGATGTAATATGTATATATAAAAGTCAAGTGCCAAATCAGATTCCTACAAATAATTCGAATAGTAATATAGATAAATATAAAAATACTATATATATTCTGGGTGCGGGATAAACTATTTTCTTTTATACAGATAACAAACCCTTAATGTTTGACCAAATATTTTCGTTCTTAAAAGAGTAAATAATAGGTATAGACATTTAGGTGTATATATATTCGTCTTATTGGTATAAATTTTTTTTTTTTTTTTGGTAAATTAATATTTAACTATTTGATTATGTGAATATGGAAAAATAAATTACTAACATAATATGTAAATCACTTTCATGTCTTAGAAAATATTATTATTTCTATATAAAAAAATATTATTGTATATATGCACACGAACTTGCAGAAAGCTTCTAATACACACTAGGATATAAGTAGAATTTTTTAAGAAAGATAAATTTAATTTATTTAATATTTATTATTATTGATATTAAAGAAATAAAATTTATATACGTGGGAGAGAGCTGTTAGAGAGAGACAGAGAATGAAAAGAAAAAAATATATACAAACAAAAATTATAGAGAGATAAATAATGAAATTGGAATATTATATATAGAAATGAGGGAAAAATGAACGAGGAGCATTTTGGAAAGTCAAAAAGGGTAATGTTGGTATTTTTTTTTTTTGGTCACATAATTGGCACGTCACTTTTTGGTGTTAGAAGTCCTTGTTTGCTTATTTTTCATACTATAAACGTAAGATTTGAACATGATAAATGTTGTTTGCACACTTTTTCAACCAATAGAAGAATTTTTTGCATTTCAAACTTTTTAGGACATCCACAATGTTTGATAAGAGTTTGACTGAGAATAACCTTGATCTTACTGCATTAATGATGGGGTTTAGGGCCCGTTATCTAACGTTTTTACTTTCTTTTTTTTACTGTCAATTCCTAAAAACAGTGAAGTAAAAGAAAAAATTATGTTTATTAATATACTTTTACTTTTTCATTTTTAGAAAGTACTTTCAAATTTAATGAAGGAAATAGAAAGTGAGAAAATGATGCTTTCTGTGATTTCTCCACTGTACATAGGAATTACTTTCCTTACTGTAATAGTATTATTGTAGCACTATTTATCCCCAAAAAAAACAAATTCCTAAAGTCCTCATATTGCCCTTCCGCCTCCTCCCATTGCCGCCTCCTGCCACCTTCTCCCACTACCCACAACCATCTCTCTCCTCTTTAAACCCATCAACAATATACCCATCCCTGTGCCATGTATGAAACTCACTCCTTCTCTTACACACACACACGCGCGCGCACCTATATATATATATATATATATATTCGATTTCTTGTTATTTAGCTAAGGCGTAGCAAGCGTTAGTGAATATATGTATAATCAATGGATTTTTCAAGAACCTGAAACGAAGCCCCCTGACTCGAAGGGATGTGGCAGAGGAAGATAAAGAAAGTGAATTCGGTTCCCTATACAATTGAATAGGCCCATCTTATTCACTGTTATAAAGAAACTTGTTTGCAATAAATGACTTGGTGCCGCCCCAAGCAAGTGGGAAAAGTCCATGGACCTAGATAGACCTAAACCAGTGCAGTGAGCAGCTATTACATCAAAACTAGATAAAAAAATTTTTTGAGAGAGGAAGATAATAGGAAAGTAAAATTAGAATCAAAATTATTAAACCTACTTTCAGTTTTTTACTTTCAAAATATTAAAAATAAAATCTTCTTATTAAACATCATTTTACTTTCTGTTTCATCTAAAAAAAAAAAAGTAAAATCATGATTTTACTTTTGAAGAAAGTAAAAGTAAGAAAGTGAAAACGTTAGTAAATGGACCCTTAATGAATGTGCATCATTTTGAACTCATTTTTTTTTTTATAATGCCCAACCGAAGTGTATTTTGGGAATAATGAAATCGACCTTGAATTTTGAACTAATTTATTTTAAAATTCTAAATTCAAAGTATTGATGCTGGCATTTGATGTGCATGAATAAAATATAATGTAAGTAGGAATGAAATGAGAATGGGAATGGAATGGAATGGTCATTCTCATTCTATTGTTTTGTTATAAATATGAAATGTACATGAATGGAATGATAATAACCATTCTAGTGTTTGGTTGGACCAATTTTAAATTTAGAATGGAATAAATTTTAAATTAAGTTCTCCAAAATATCCTTGCTAGTAAAAAATAAATTAAATTAACAAAATGACATTGTTAAATAATTTTAAAAAAATTAATGGTGGTAATGGCGGTGGTGGAGGTGGAAAGCGGTAGTGGTGTAGGTGGTGGTGTTGGAAGGCGGCAGCGGTGGTAATGGTGGAAGGTGACGGTGTTAGTGAAATGCAACAGTATTGGTGGAAGGCGGTGGCAAGAGTGTTGGTGGTGGTGGAAGATATAGTGGTGTAGGTGGCAGTAGTTTCGCCAATGAAGGTGACTGTGGTGGTGGTGGAAGGTAGTAGAGGTGGCAGTGGTGGAAGGTGATGGCGGTGGTGGAAGGCGGTAGCAAAGGCGGTAATGGAAGGTGGTGAAAGGCGGCGGTGGTGATGAAAGGCTGTAGCAACTGTGTTGGAAGGTGACAGCGACGGTGGTGGTGGAAGGCGGCTGCGGCGGTGGTGTAAGACGGTGGCGGCAATGGTGGTGGAAGGCGGTGGCTGTGGTGAAAGGTGGTGGCGGTAGTGAAAGGTGGAGGCAGTGATGGAAGGTGGTGAAAGAAGGTGGCGGCAGTGGTGGTGAAAGGTAGTGGCGGCGGCGGCGATGGTGAAAAGTGATGGCGGAAGGCGGGGTGGCGGTGGTGAAAGGCGGTGGTGGTGAAAAGTGATGACGGTGGTGGTGGTGGTGGAAGGTGGTAGCGGTGGAATACGGTAATGGTGGTGGTGGCAGTAGTGGTAGTGAAAGGCGGTGGCGGCGGTGATAATTGGGGCAAAGGAAAACGATGTTGGTGGTGAAAGGCGGTGGCGGTAGTGGAAAGCGGTGGGTGGTGGTGAAAGTCGGTGGCGGTGGTGGTAGTGAAAGGTGGAGGTGGTTGTGGTGAAAGATGGTGATGATTTTTGGAGTTGGAACATGAGGGTTTTTAAGTTGATTTTTTTTTTTTATATAAAAAAATTAATTGGGAATGGAATTGTCATTCCATAGGTTTAGTTATGGAATGGATTTTCATTCAAATGGAATTACCATTA